AAAGTCAGAAACGGTTAAGGTTACATCAATTCCAAAAATAGACCAGTTAAACCCAAAACATAGAACTAACCTCTAGCCAAATCGAACAACACAAATCAATAGAAGGCAAGACACAAACCAACAGTGAAAAACACATGAAGAAATCAAAAGGTAGGAAAGTGCAAAAAAACGAGCAATTACACAAAAAATCAAGCAAGATCTAACCAACCGAAAAAATAGGACTTCAAACCCGAACCACCACCACAGTGCACTCATTCTGTAGCTATCATCATCCACCTCATTGCAAAAGCTGACCATTGCTAGTAAAACACATCAGCAAAAATCCAATAAAGAAAATAATAAAGTAAAGTCAGAAATAAGGAATATTTTTTCAAGTTTCGTTTGCGTTTATCCAAATTGTTTGGGTCTCTAAATCAGGTGGGGAAAAAGGAAAAAAGAAAAGAAAGAATATACTTAGGGTGGTGGTGATCGGCGCAACAAGGAGGAGGTTCTTGAATTCAAATCCACTATTTTCCAGGGTAGATTCACGTGTAGCAAGCAAGTTTTTGAAGAATCTGAACCAAGACCCAAAACGACGAAACTGAGAAGTGTCTTGTGACAAGTCCAGAGCAAACCGGTGATCGGACGTTGGTTGTGAGTGGCCACCAGCAGAGGTCAGCGACGGACGACAACAGGACTGTGCCAGAATTCGAGAAGCTTTTGGCTGCTGTTCAAGAGAGAGGACAGAGCAAATTCCATGATAGAGAGAGAAAAACAAAATTGAAAATTAGGAAAAAAACTGAAAAGAATGCTTTTATAGCATTAACAAAACAGTGTCGTTTTAGCTCAAGAAATTAAGTTCCCTTTGCCTGCTTCAAGGATCCGTGTGCCAACTGTTGGGTGACCCAGCCCAGTCCAGCTTCGCGCCATTTAAGCTACAAGTTAGCCAAATCGCACAACACAAATCAATAGAAGGCAAGACACAAACCAATAGTGAAAAACACATGAAGAAATCAAGAGGTAGGAAAGTGCAAAAAAACGAGCAATTGCACAAAAAATCAAGCAAGATCCAACCAACCGAAAAATAGGGCTTCGAACCCGAACCACCACCACAGTGCACTCATTCTGTAGCTACCATCATCCACCTCATTGCAAAAGCTGACCATTGCTAGTAAAGCACGTTAGCAAAAATCCAATAAAGAAAATAATAAAGCAAAGTCAGAAATAAGGAATATTTTTTCAGGTTTCGTTTGCGTTTATCCAAAAGGTTTGGGTCTCCAAATTGGGTGAGGAAAAAGGCAAAAAGAAAAGAAAGAATATACTTTAGGGTGGTGGTGATCGGCGCAACAAGAAAGGAGGTTCTTGAATTCAAATCCACTATCTTCCAGGGTAGATTCACGTGTAGCAAGCAAGTTTTTGAAGAATCTGAACCAAGACCCAAAACGACGAGACTGAGAAGAGTCTTGTGACAAGTCCAGAGCAAACCGGTGATCGGACGTTGGTTGTGAGTGGCCACCAGCAGAGGTCAGCGACGGACGACAACAGGACTGTGCCAGAATTCGAGAAGCTTTTGGTTGCTGTTCAAGAGAGAGGACAGAGCAAATTTCATGATAGAGAGAGAAAAACAAAATTGAAAATTAGGAAAAAAACTGAAAAAGAATGCTTTTATAGGATTAACAAAACAGTGTCGTTTTAGCTCAAGAAATTAAGTTCCCTTTGCCTGTTTCAAGGATCCGTGTGCCAACTATTGGGTGACCCAGCCCAGTCCAGCTTCGCGCCATTTAAGTTACAAGCCAAGCTGCTTCTTGTGTGAAGCTGAGCCGCAACCAGTTTCCTGAGTCGAGCCGTAAGTTGTTTTGGTTTCTTTTTCTTTTTTTTTTTTTATATATATTTTGCTCATTGTTCATTTATTACTATTTGAGTGAATAGAGAAGAATAAATAAGTAAATAAAATATTTCAAAAAATGTTTAAGGTAAAGTTGAAATTATCAATTTTTTTTAAAGATCAAATTTCAAAAAAAAAAAATTTAAAGAAAAGTTGAATGTATCAATTTTTTTGAAAAGTAAAAATCTAAAAAAAAATGTTTTAACAAAAAGTTGAAACTATCAATTTCTCTTAAAAATAAAATTTTCAAAAAATATATTTTTGAGAAAAAATTAAAAGTATCAATTTTTTTTAAATAAAAATTTCAAAATGCTTTAAAGAGAAGTTGAAAGTACCAATTTTTCTTAAAGATGAAATTTTTAAAAAATATTTTTTGAAGAAAAGTTGAAAATATCAATTTTTCTCGAAAATAAAAATTCGAAGATGCTTTTTGAAGAAAAGTTGAAAGTATCAATTTTTCTTGAATAAAAGCATGAATTCTTAAAAAAAAAAAAAAACAAAGTAAGAAAAACGATCTCTAGAAAAAGTTGAAGTATTATTTTTCTTTCTTGGAATTCTTTTTTAATGTTAAATAATCCGACGACAGAGCCTCTGTAAGAGAAATAGTAGTTTTCTTATATACTCTTGAGGTGAGAATTTTTTTAATTTTCTGTCAAAAGTATTGGAGTCAGTTAAGAATAATTTTTAATAATTAATTACTTGATAAAATTTTTAAGGCTTAATAGATAACACGAAATCGAGCTGGTAATATCTTTCGATGGGTGTTGTGAAATATTATAACCTTTATCATATGTAACTGTACTCCCGGACCTAGTTTTAATTTCGTAGACATTAAATCTACCTTTCAAAAATACTTAAGTCAAACTGAAGATTTTTTTAAAAAAGAAACATATTCAGTCAGGTAGCCAATCGGACCTAAACAAAAAAGATTAGTGACGACTCCTCACGTCAATGTTTAGCAATAAGCCCACAAATCTAGATATTATGACACATATGTTACGTAAATAAATAAAAAGATCGAAATTGATTGACATGATAAAATCATATTTGATTAAGCTTAAGAAAGATAACACATAATTAATTTAGTATCAATTTTGGACTGAAAGGGATGCTATTACCTTTCCTATACATAATCGACTTTCGAACCTTTGTTTTGTTGATATAGACCATAACTTTCTTTTTTTAGAATCCCTTAAGTTAGGCTTAAGATAACCTTAAAAAAGATAAATATACATAGGTGATCAATCACACTTAGATATCAAAAATTTGTGACGACGCCATATTTTTTGTAATTTATATATTATATAACAATATACATAAATAAATTTTTAATAAATAAATTTATGACAATTCTCTTAAATGATATATAAGATAGTTTTTAATATAATAAGATAGTTTTTTTTAATTTCAAATTAAATAATAGATTATAGATTATAATAATCAATATGTAAAAATTTGTATTAATTATAAAATATTTTATAAATAAAATGTTATTCTTTTCATCTTATTATATTTAATTTTTTAATCAAATTATATTAATATTAATCTTTGATTTTTAAATATAGATAAACATGTATAAAATTAAAATTTTAAAAGTAACTTTTGAAAATTTCGAAATTTAAAATTTTTAAATATCATTTTTCAGAAGGGCCATTACATATTTATTTGATCCTAAAATTATATCACTTCTCTCACTTTGATATCTAAAACAAATATAACGAATTCCTCGAACTTTATTTCCATCCAAGTAATTAAATCACTCCACGCACTAACTCCATTAATAGTAAGTTGATGTGGCCTAAAAGCAAGCAATAAAATAATGACAAGTAGTCAGAAAAATGTTACGTCACTTTATATTTGTTTTGTTGTTAAAAATTCTTTAGTTTTGAAATTAAAAATTAACAAAATGAAAGTCATTGGAAAAGGAAAGAAAGAAAGAGAAAAGAAAGTAAAAAATGGAAGGAAGGGGAGGGTTCGTTGGTGACGGATCTAGTTTGCCTGAGGGCCAATCAAATAGGCTTCCGATCAGCCAATCCTCCGCTCGTTTTTACTTTAATTTTATTTTATTTATAAAACACTTTTATATGTCAACATTCACTGACTTCTTGATAAAATTTTGAACTTTAAATTTTAATAATCAAAATTTACTTTCGTACAACATGAAATATAAGAAAAATATTATTATATAAGATTAAAAGTGATAAAATAAATTCAAATCTAAAAATTGGCTCGAACCCAAATCCAATTTAAATTAATTAGAAAGTTAAAATTCAAAGTAAAAAAAATCTAAATTTAAATGATTTAAATTTAAAACAATTGAAAAATAAAAGGACAACTCAAAAGTGTACGGTTTAAAATTAACAAAAGCCAAAACGACATGAACTTGAAAAAAAAAATCGAAGCCAATGACTCAAATCCTAAATTATCCGAACTTGAAATAGATTTGAGTTCATTTATTAAGATCCTTTAGACACTTTTATGTCTATATATAGAGTTAAGATGTAGGAAAATGAGATCTAATCTCATATAATTGATTTTAAATCAATCAAAGATCATGAATTTTGAAATTTTTTTTTTTTACACAGGACCTTAATTTTTTAATTAAAAGAGATAAAATTATTTTAAGGTGGTATCCTAAATTAAGAAGAGAAAAAAGAAAAGCTAGAAAAATAAATAGAAAAGAAAAAATGAAGAGTTAGTTGAACGGAAGTCGATCCGTAGTTCGATTGAACTGAAACTTTGTTAGTAGGTTTATGATTCAGAGTTTTATTTTTTGAACGGTAAAGATCGAGTTTGAAACTCTTTAGGAAGAAATTTAGAGTGTATTTGTTGAGTTACTTATTTGATAAAATTTCTCTAATTATCTTTTTAGTTGTTGATTAGCTTTAGTTGTAGCTAAAAAAAACTTTATATATCCATTATTTGATAGTGAAGATTTTTCTGGTAATTCATGGCTTTTCTCTCTATACTGAAAGGTTTTTCACGTAAATCTTGATGTACTTTATTTTTTCTGTGTTTTTTTATTATTGATTATTGTTTATTGTCGTGGGTTTATTGTAATATATTGTTTATGTGTTGTTGTGTTTATTGTCATAGACCCAACAAGACGAAGTACTATGTTCAACAAAAGAAAGTATGGTAATGGAACAACAAGCATCCACTTTATTCTTTTCCATCGTCTTGCTACATTTCCAGCTGATCAAGAGCAAATTTCATCAATGATATAAAGTCAAACTACTTGAAGAACTCCATGACCCAGAAGTTATAAACAAAACACTCATATCTGACACCACTGAATCCAGCTTTGGTTGCCAGGGCTTCGAATTCTGGTTTGGTCCGTTCCTTCCCTCCTGGATCCTGAGTCATCATAACCACATCGGACTGTAAAATGCATCTCGCATAAACATTAGTCTCGGGCACAATCGGTAGGACAGCATCAACCACTATAACTTTTCCGTCATCCGGAATGGCATCGTAACAATTCTTCAACAGCTTCAAACAATGATCATCGCTCCAATCATGAAGAATCCACTATAAATTTTGCAACTTATGTCAATAATTTATTTGTTATCTGCTATTAACAACTTTTGATGGTAGAAGGCAAATAGCTAAAATAAAACATACAATGCATTAAGTAAAAAGAGCCTAATCAAACAATTACTGGTGACAGATGATTGAATATGCAACTTAGAGGTGCAGATCAAGTTTACAAGTATAAATGAATAGAATATAATTAAATGAATTTTGCTAAATCCTTGATATGCTTGTTTAATTAACGAATTTTAAATGTTGTTAGTAATCATTTGTTAGCTTAATAAATGAATAAAAATTAAATCTATTCCCAAATTGTTTGACAAATGTTCTTTTTGATTAACCAAATCGAAAAAGTGAATGAACTTTACAAAATTCGTAATCTGTTCGTTTAACTAACAAATTTAAAAATGTTATTCGTGATTATTTGTTAAATTTAATAAATAAATATAAATAAATAAAAATTGAGTCTATTTCCAAATTTTTCATTAAATGTTCTATTCATTTATATTCATAGACGGACAGTAGAATTGGCTTAAGGAGCCTTGGCCTCCCCCCAAAATTTTTAAGTTTTAATATTTATTTTATGATAAAATTAAATGACCCCCTCAAATTAAAGTCATTAATTTTTTTTATTTTTATGTAATTTTATAATTTAGTTTTATTCATTGAAATTAAGATTTATTAAAATCATATTATTATTTATCTATTGACTTATCAATAAATTATTATCTACAAATTTTTAAAATAAAGAAATTGTCACAAGATTAAATCACAGTAATATAAATTTAATAAAAGTCAAATTAATTTTGTAAATTTTCAAATAATATTAAAAGTCTCCAATCAAGCATAAAAAATAATTTTCTATGCCTTTTTAATTTATTACAATTCCACTTTTCCATATAATTCATCACATTTAATTTTATCTTAGATTTTTTTTTTCTATCATGCAATTTTTTTATCACAAAAGTCAAATTGAAGTCACTTTATTTATAAGGTTAAAAAAAATACCCTAACTTCTAGTCTTAAAGTTTCAAACTTTATTCTTTTAGTTATGTAGTTTATTTTTCTTATTTTGATAAAAAATATATATTGTTTAACAATTAATTTACTTATACTTTTTTTAAAATACTCGCAATTGTAAAAAAGATTCACAATTTAAATAAGACTATTTATTTAATTTATTATGTTTCTTTATATATGGATTTACAAATCAATAAAATTTATAATTTTGAAAACATGTATATTTTATTAGTATACTGCTTGCATATATATATATTAATAATATAATAAGATATATTTTATAAATAAAATTTAAATTCAATATAATATCGATTGGTTCTCTCAAAATCGGCTATCAAAATCCATCACTGCTTGCACTCTTAATCAAGGGAAACAAATTACTGCAAATGATATATCTTACTTTCATAAAAATTGCATCTCCTTTCGGAACACTTTCAAACATATCTCCTCCTACATTTTCAATGCCTGTAATTATGTCGATTATCTTGTTAGTGTACAAACAGGTGATACCAGAGTAACTAAAAATCCAAAATGCAGAAACCAAGATGTTACCAGGGTAGGCCGGAGCATGTTGTATAACATGAGGCAAGTCAAAATTAATTCCCTTAATAGAGGGATACTTGGAGGTGATAATGCTAAGGGTGACTCCAAGACCACCGCCAACATCAACCACACGGTTGAGCTGCTCAAAACCGTTGTAGCTCTCCAGGATCTTCTTCAGAACTATAGTCGTGTGATTGATCATGGCAGTATTAAAAACTTGATTGTACCTTGGGTCCCTGCCAGGATATTCAAACGCGTTTGTTCCATGGACCCTGTCAAATGGAACTCCTCCTTCAAGAATTGCATCCTTCAGCTGCGACCTACCAGTGGATTATCATGCAGGAATTTGTTAAGTATAAGGCCTATATGACGTGAGGTCAAATGGAACTTAGGCAAATTGGTCAATTGCTTTTGAGTTGAAAAAAATTAAAGAAACCAAGCCACTAAAATTAGTTGAACTAATTAACTAAACCTTTAGCCCCTTTTCTAATGTTACTATCAGAGGAAATAGTTTCATTCATTATAAACAAATTATATATTTACATATTAGAAACAACCATTCTTTGAGTATATAAATAATTTTACATGGGTAAAATACATTTGAATTACATTACTTCTGAGTTCTATTAATTAAATATAAAAAAAAAAAATTTGCAGTTAAATATTTGAATTTTTATTCTTAAAATCAAATTAACTTATGAAATAATTTTTTTAAAAATCTGAATCGAAGTGATTTCCCTAATCAATAATAAAGTATTAATTGTCAAAAAAAAAAACCTAGTAATTTAATTTGTTTTTATTTTCATTCTTGAAATAAAAATAAAAAATGAAAAATAAAAGATAAAAGATAAATAAATCTTTTTCAAAAAAGATTCAAAAAACTTGTAAACTTTTTTTAAAAAAAAAAAAGAGAGAGAGAGATCTTGGAGGGAAAGGGAAAAGAGAGTGGAAGGCGAGCGTAGGGGAGATCGATCATTTTCCTGTTTCTTATTACTGGTCTATTTGAGAATTGACTGTACATGAAATATGCACATATTAGTCGATGAAAAATCAAAACACATAGAATTTTAGGTTCCTATTTCTGGCCAAACAAAAGAAAGGGAATTTTTGCTGCCTATGTTTGAACAAATATTCCAACTCTCAACTGACTCTACCAAATATAAAGTTCCAACTAGCTAGACAAGAACAGGGATCAAAAGTAACGATGACTGAGAACAATGGCTTCCATATTTTGAAAAAAAAAAAAAGAACAATTAAAGACACACACACACAGAGGAAGAGAGAGGGAAGAAACCCACCAACTATCAAAGTACACCTTGTCCTGAATCAAGTTCATCAAGGGGCCTAATGAAAAACCATCTTCATTTTGAACAAAGAATTTGGACACAGGTGTTATACTATAGAGCCTTTGTGGATTACCCTCTTCATCATCAGCCAAAGAGCAACCAACAATACCATGGCTGGCTAAAACTCTAAGTACGCGGTCCAGCATAGAGGACGCCTCTGGATTCTTGGTAGGTAACTGGGCTGCTAGCTCCTTTGGGGAGAGCTTGGCATCTGGACCAGCTTTCGCTATGATATCAAAAATGCCAAGCTGAATTGCTGCATGCATTGACATGGGCAGCACACAAGAGATGACGATCTCGAAGGCATATGCGAAGCTTTCTTGATCTTGCCCTGCATATTTATTGTTGCCATGAAATTGGTTTTCTTCTGATGATCCCATTGGAGAGCAAAGCCTTTTTCCCTCAATCAAACTTAGATGTTTGGTTGGTACATTAAAATGAACGGCAACACAGTATTTATAAATTGGAATGACTAGGAAATAGCTTGTGTATCAAAACATATTTAAAGCATGTTTAATAAAAAACAAAAATGACTAAGAGCGGAGGGACCCATGAAAACACAAGGAACACGATTTTGCAGCCAGAAGTTACGATGGAACCAGATTTAGGCAGATGAGGCCATTCCATATCCGTAAAGACGTGATCCTCTCAATTATCACGGATGTTGATATTTGATTTTCAAAGTTTAATTAAAATTAAAATTATTTTAAATTATTATATTATTTAAAGTTTGAAATAAGTATCAAATACATGTATGCATTTAGTATAGATATGCTTATTTTTTCAAATTTTTTATATATTTAAAATTTTTGACTTTGATATTCAGATTTATTATGTATGTGTCGAGCACAAATATTTTAAAAAAAATAAAATAATTTAAATAATTAACGTAATTAATTTAAGATTTTATTATAAAAAAAGATTAAAAAAAAGAGTCAAAAAATATATTAAAAAAAAGTATAACAGACTAAAAGTTATAATTTTAACAGTTGATTGAAGATTGAAATTTTGTTGGGAAAAAAAGAAACTTAATTTTATTTTAAGTATACATGAATGTAATTTTATATTTATGATAAATTTATTATTTTTAAGAATTTATGATAATGATTATAGGCACAATAAATAATAAATAATATATATATATATATATGTTAAAAGGATTTTTAAACTTTTTGGGGTCCAACACCCCTTTAGCTCTAATGGCGGCCCCACAAGTCAATTATCTTAATTCACATAGCACGTTTTAACAAAAAACTAAAACCAAAACAAAAAGGAATAAGAGCTGGGCGGCCCATGAAAACATGAGTAACACGATTTTGCCTCTGGGATCAATGATAAAATTTTGATAATTTTTTAATATAATTTTAATAATTAATTTTTTAGTAATTAGTTTTTTTTGTAATTTTTTATGTAATAATATTATTATTTTATTTAAATTTAAAATTTTTGTAACTAAATTTTTATTAAATAGGTTCTTTATAGATCTATTTTAATCTTCCAAAATGAAATTTTTAACTTTATTTTTGTTAGTATTCAAGATTTAATTTTTAATAACTTTAAATATAAAAAATTTATCAATTATTGATAATTAAATTATCATTAATTTATTATAATTTTATTAACAATTTATTATTAAACTATTTATGATATATTACTAAATTATCAATGATTTACTATTAAATTAGTATTGATTTGTTATTAATTTATGAATGATTTATTATTAAATTATTGATAATTTTTTAATAAGTTACTGATGATTTATTCTAAAATTATAACTTATTTATTATTAATTTATAAGAGTTTTTTTACACAGCAAGATGAATTAAAATCTTTATTCTCGTATGAGGGTTCTTTTAATTTTTTTCCCTAAATGAGATATTGAAGCCACGTCACTGTTGTACCACTGCTTACAAGGAAAAAACTATCTGCAATTTTCTAATGGTTCCATCCTCAGATCCTAAGGCATATAATTCCTCTCCTGGTGAGAAACACACGCAGGGACAACCATTTTGACCCTTATGGCATGCTATCTCGTCCCCAGTGTGAAAATAAAAAGCACAAACCCATATATCTTCTCATCTGGCAATGAATTTACTTCCATACTTCAGCTCTAGTAAGTCTGATATAACCGTGCATGGTATGTTGTAGCTTTTTACCAACCCAAAGCGGTTTGCATCCCAGAACTTAACCGTATATCCATCTGCAGTTGTGATGTATTGACCATCTTAACTCACTTCAGCATAAGTCACATATGACTTGGTCTCTAGTGTTTAAACTAGTTTCCCACTCCTCCATATTGTCTTAATTAGGGGTGTAAACGAGCTGAGTCGAGTCAAATAGTGAGAAGCTCGAGCTCGACTCGACTCACAACTCGGGGCTCGATACTCGGCTCGAGCTCGATCGAGTTTTATTTTTCAAGCTCGACTTCGATTCGTGATTGAATTCGAGCTACTCGAGCTCGTTCGATTAAGCTCGATTAATATGTAAAAATAAGCTCGATTTGTATACTCGATAAGAGTTCGATTATTCAAGCTCGAATTCGAACTCAAACTCGGACTCGAAATATTTTATTAATTAAAATATTAAAAATATATTTAAATATAAAAGCTCGATTAGGCTCGCGAGCTGCTCGAGTCAAATATAAGAATACTCGAATTCGGCTCGATCGATAAGTCGAGTTACTCGAGTTCGAGCTCGACTCGACAATAATCAAACTGAATTCGAGTTTTTTTCGAATCGAACTCGAGTAGCTTGTGAGTACTAATGTATTATTTACACCCCTAGTCTTAATAGTGTCTGATCACTTTGAATCCACACAACAGTTTTGATTGAACCAGGAGATTTGCCTTCCCTTGGAGGTGCGTCTGAATGTTTCAAATCATAAATACGATGGACTTTCTCTACTTCCCTAGTCAATCAATACAAGATGTATATCCTTTGAAAAAGCACAAGCTCGAACAATATGCTTGTGTTCAAATTAGTACAATTCATCACCTGTCAGTGCATCCCAGACTTTTGCAGTAAAGTCACCTAAACCGAAAGCTGCACTTAATGAATTTGTATCCAAGCAAACACCCCACAACGCACCCTTATGTCCTTCAAATGTTCCTATACAATCTCCAATTTCTCAATTCCTCACTAATAAGTAGGGATTTAAATTGTGATAACAGTCATATTTTGGAACGCATTGCATTTGTCACGATTGCAGATATAACGAAAATTTTTACAATCATTGCAACTATCGTGATCGTGAATTTTTTAAAATTTTACTCAACTTGCTATAAAATATAATAATTTTAATTATTAATTATAAAACCTCTTATTTTATGAATTTTAAAGTAATTTATATCATATCATGTGTTTTATTTATTTAAAAAAAATATTTATAGTAAAATATTCATATTTAAAAAATTATTCATATGATGATTAGAAAATAACAAGAGATAAATAAACATGTGAAAAATAAATAATCATAATGAATGATATGTTTAATTATTTAATTACCGTACTTATCAAATTATTACTGAATTATATTATACATAAATCAAATAATAAATCATTAGATATCCATAAATTAAGTAAGAGCATTACTATTTATTGGTGAAGAGCATTGCTTTTTATGGATTTACAGTAAATCAAACTTGGCAGCTTCCATGTTGTGGGTAATCTTCAACAATAATAGCCTCAAGTCTACTTCTTCTGCCTCTTGAATAAATTACACAAACTCACACAACTTCTCATCCCTCACCTTGTATTCAATAATTTTTTTTCTCCAAACCTTCATTCTCATCCCCATCTCTCATCTGCTCATCTCCATCCAATCCAATCCCAAACACACAAAATCATGGTAAATTTAGAAATTAAAAAAAAAAAATAATTTAAGTGCTGAATTAATTACTTACCTTAAACTGCATATATATGATCTTGATTGAAGTTGAATATAAAAGAATTAATATTTTTGGAAGTTTAAGTTTTGTGATTTTTTTTTTGAATTTGTAAATTGATATTTATTTTTTTCTTGTTGTTTTTATTTTAACTTTTTAAACAAAATCAAATAAATTTTTTTTTTAATTTTTGAATGAAAAACGAAATAGCGGATAATAACGGACCACTATTGTCACTATTCAACATTACGTCGTAATTCATGATCACAACACGTCTGTTATAGATGAGATTCAAATTTTTTTCCATTTTTTCATCAATACAACGGTGACGAATGGTGACGCGACCACGAAATAACGATCATTATACCGCTATCGACCGCTATTTAAATCTTTGCTAATGAGGAAAACGCCATCTGGAGTAATTGGATGGTAAAAGAGGTCCACGACGGGGCGTGAGTGGCCATAGCATACAAGTGGGACTGCAATCCTTTGTCCATCTCTTTTTTATTACAAATAAAACACCATTTATAGAAGAAATCTCTTTCTTTTATGATATCCATACAAAACAAGAAATGGTGATAGTTGAATACAACTGGGAAGAGGTTTTGATTAGTGGGATTTGGGATTTGATTGCATTGATCCTCACCTACACTGGGCCTGGAGCATTAAGCAAGATGATGATGATGCAAAAATGTTATGGAAAAATTAGAAAAAACTATTCTTTTACAGGAGTCTACAGTCAGGCACAGAGCATCGCGAATCAAATGACCAAACTACATGATATTTTCTACACTCATTTTAAAAAATTCTAGAAAAAAAAATCGAGTACTATGTAAAATATCAAAAAGGTGGAGCTTCCAATGGAAAATATATTTTCATAGACATAACCCAAGCATGGTTTTATATAATCTAATCTTGTCGTTATGGCTCTTGCAATTAAAGAAGTCAAGTTAGTTGCTTCTATAGACGAGAATAGATAAGGGGCTGATAGCTGTGAAAACTAAAATCCTGTTGACCCAAATGCACATCTCAATGAAAATTAACTTATGAGCTGTAACAAAATCTCTCTATTGTGATCACCAAAACAGAAGATGGACGATTGCTTGCAAACTTAAAAAAGGCAAAATCGAGTGTTTAGCATGGCAAGATTGATCTTTCTGTTGGTGACCACGATAAATAGTAAAAAAATGAAGAAAAAGGAAAATGAAAAAAGATTAATGGTCAAGTGATAGTTTTTGCCACTTAAGCATTTTGACAATTTATGCGGCTTGAAATACGTTATTTAGGGAAATAAGATAAATGCTATCCCCATTTGGGAACAAAGATTTCAATGCATCTTGATATGGAAAAAAAACTCTAATTTATCAATGATTTATTACAAAGCTATCAATAATTAACTAATTTACTATTAAATTATCATTGATTTACAATTAAATTATTAATGATTTACTATTAAGTTATCAATAATTTATATTAAATTATCAATAATTTCCTATTATGTTATTATACATTTACTATTTGTTGTTATTGATTTATTATTTAGCTTTCGATTATTTACTACAAAATTATCATAAATTTATTACTAAATTAACCATGATTC